TATATATTTGCCACCTGATGAAGGCCTGTGGCCGAAAACGTTTGTGAATTTTCTGTATTAAATTTGACTATATTTCTGTAATTAAATTTAAATATATATATATATATATATATATATAAATCATCAACAGTTGAATATATATATGTATAATCAAAGAGATGTAAATACAGTGTTCGAAATTATTATATACCTAATTAGCTTGTGTTATTCTTTGTTCTTTGTTTTTGGTTAATAGGATTTTTTTGATGATCAAACTTTTCATTTTATAATGGAAGAGTTTTTAAGAGCACTGGTATTATCATTACCTTTGATAATATTACCATAACGAGATTATCTAATAATTACAGCATTTTTTCTCAACAATATAATTTTGATTTCTTTACAGATTATCTTCATAACAAGCAATAACAAACTAAAATAGTATATTTTTTAAAAAGCTAATAAAAAAAATACAGTATATTTGATAAATCAGTGATTTAACATACCCAACGCCCTTTCATTTTTGAATTTATAGTATATTAAACTATAAGTTTCTTATTTAAATTGATGACTGATATATTCATAAACCTTCACTGGCCCCACTTTACAGAGAATATGCATATTTGTTATCGCCAAGGGCATTGAAAGGTCAACGCCCGTTACCAAAACATGAACGTGACTTGAGTATTACACAACACAAGGATGGTGCAATAATAAACTGTCTCTTCGTGAAGATTCGCCATGTTTTTAAAAATTATTTTGTTAAAATTCTTCAAATCAACATGCAGTAATACTTAAAAATCTGATTATTTACACTTGGTTTTCTCGACTTAAAGAAATGAATTAAATAAAACTTAAATATATCATGGAATTTGCTAACGTTTAGAAATACGTTCTTGTTACTCTTGGATACATGGACGTCGGAGTTAGCTATAAATAAGTCTGTCACATGCTAGCTCGTGACCAATGACGCACCATATCCTGCTTCAAACTGGAAACAACAGGGCGTGATTACGAAACAGATTGCAGAGAATAATAATCATAGTGAGATGAACAATTTTCAAGGACTGTAGTTACTAATTTGACTAAAATTCGGCGAATTTATGAGAATGGTTGAATGAAATATCAGGATTGACACGCTTTTAGTCTTTTCATTTATTAATTTACCTGGTGTATTAGCGCAGACGGAGACAAGTTTATTATGTTTTGATGTAAATTCTCGCAACTATTATGTAATCAATCAAGGCGGTTCGTAGGGACGAGCCCCCAAATGCGAGCAATTTCATTGGTTAATGCAAATTTTATCTCATCAGCATATTTATTGCGATATCTCTGACAGGACCATAACAAATCCTCCTCCAAACAGAAGAATAATTAGTTTGGGGAAATTCCAGTGTTTTGTTGGTTTGAAGCAGAGGAGTTAACCTGTGTATCATTGTTAAATTATCGTTGAATAGTCTGTAAACTGTACAGTTGTTGGGCTTAGGTTTATTGTATTTTGAGACTGGAAATTTACGGATCAGACAGGTAAGAAACTCTGGGGGTTTGCTGTCATCATTCGAGGCCGCGAAGAGGTGGTAATGTTTTCATTTCATCTTTGGCTTAGCTAGACTTAGCCTAAGCCGAGCTGAATGATTTAGTCTTTAGAAACAGTAGTACTGTACATTCTTTCATTATACGATAGTTCAATTTATTGTTGCGTTTGCGTCTGGCAGTTTTTATTTTCGATTATTATAGTTTCTCTGACCTACAAAATCCATTAATTTCTATTTATTAATCATGTGTTTATGTTTAATGTTATGCCTGACTTGATCAGGGAGTTTTTGCTTTGATCATCATGACAATAATGCCTGCCTGGCCTAGCTCATGATGACGGATGGTGATAGGCTAGGTAGGCCTAGCCATAATCGTTTTTGGGCTGTATATCTGTGTGTTTTTTTTTTATCTTTATCTGTTTTGTTGAGAAACAAAACAATATATTATTATGCCTAAGCATAGATTATTTTTAATCCAACTATCCTATGTAATACGTAGTTATCATCGACTAGGCCTATTATAGTAGTGTAGTGTAGTAAGTAGATTGTTGGCATTTTAGCAAAAGGTCAGGAAATATGTTGTTCTGTTTCCAATCACCAGCATGTAATTAACTGTCTGTATTGGTTTTGTGTGTTGTTTATTGTTCGTGTCTTGGACTTAATTAGATTTTATATTATAATTCTTCTAGTAGGAATGGAAGTGGAATTTCCAGGTACCATATGTTTTTGACAGATTGACCTGGTTGTGGCAGAATCTACCCAGCTGGATTATGTTAGCAAAAAACAGTCACACATGCATCATGATATGCTTCCAATGATAATCTGTCCATAAAATCAAAAGAAACCTTTGTTGATCCCTGTGGTAGGTAGAATGTTGCAAGGAGGGGGATGGGGATGGGGACCTAGTCTGCCACATACCTACTATGTAAAACCTGGGTATGCTGGGTTTTCTATGAGAACGGAGGTCCAGGTGGCACTTAGGCGTACAAACTTAACTATGTAGAGAAAACATAAGATTATTTCTTCATCATTCATACATAATAATATTAAGAATAACAAAAATTCATAAAAAAAAATGTGTCTCTTAAATATAAGAGGACCACTTTTATGAAGTACATTTCAAATAGCCAGTCTTAAATCATAACTAGTCTGTACCAGAAGATTACTGAAAATGTACTGTTCTTGAATGAGAATAAAATAAATATTACCCGACAGTAGTCAAAATTTCCAGCAAAGATAACAAGATAAAATTTGATTGATTTTTCAATACCTAATTTGTCTATCCTTCAAATCCTTGTAAAAGTTTTTTAAAAAAATGTTTAAATAGTATTAAATTTTTAAAACTCTTTGGCAAATATCCATGTTTTTCTATCAATGCTTATAGTAGATCCTTTGATGATGTAGGGGAATGTTGTAACAACTAAGATATTTTGTTCGATTACAGGGCTTCCATTTCTGCTTATTAAAGAAATGTCAACTGGAAAAGACTAAAATCTCTTGGAAATCTTGTAATCTCGTAATTTTCATATTGTTCACCACATTTTCCCTGGTCATTTTTAACTACCTTTGCAACTCTCCGAAATTTATTGTAGTATTTTTGATTCCTTCTTTTTTATTCTAATAAATGTTATTGTACAGTACTTGAATATTCATTATTAATATTACTTTGATAACAAATCTGTAGTTCTAGCATTAAAGTAACTCATGTTTACAAATCAAATATATTCTACCATTTACTTTGTCCTGCAGAGAAGGGGATGGGAATGGAGATTTTTTTCTGCAAAGACTTTCTCAACTTGGCACCTCAGCCACATATGGTAATATCTGAGCAGCTGTAAATAATGTCTACCCACCAATACTGTATGATTAATTCCATATGCCTCAATATATGGACTTTATTGAGTCATGGTATTGGAATTTTAATTACTGATGATAGTTCATAATGATACACATAAGGATTATGAAAGTGGTCATGCACTGAAGAGGAAGACAAAAGTTGTTTCTTAATCATCCACACGGTGTTGTAGCTAGACAACTATAAGGATAGATGATAGATATTTTAAGGGTGGGTGGGTGATAACGTTGGTAAACTCTAAATGATAAGACTGGATTTTAAGCATGGAAAAGTGGGTTAGTAAGGTTGTGTGGAGGGCCATGAAATTAGCTTTCAAGACTGGGTGGCCCCGCCCACCATAACTACGTCCCTTCACAACTTTTGATTAATTGATAGCCTATCCGATACAAAAGGTAACTTGTGTGTTGGCTGATACAGTACGGCGTGAGTGCACAGAAGAGATGCCCAGTTGGAGATCTGTTGGTGTACCCCTCCCATCTCACTGGAGATGCTTTGCTAGGTTATTCACTAGTGGAATCAATGTAGATTAGGATTTTCTTCATTTCTTTCTTTTGTTTTTTTCTGGATTCTTGTTCAGATACAAAGTGCTAGTCAGAATTCGTCAATGCAGAATACCCCACCTAGCAACCACCAAATAGGGGATGGTATTACAGTACCCTAATTTTTTTTTATGGTCAGAGAAGTTGTGGTAGACAGGGGCATAGCCTGTCTGACATGTTAAATTCGTGTTCCCTTACTTAAATATTTTCCATTGATATCTCTACTTTGTGAATTTTTATCACAATATAAACTACATGCAGAAATTCATCATGACAAGTAATCAATTTATCATGAACTACAGATAATGCTTTTCTTAATTGCCTGGTAAGCCACCCAGGTAAGTGTAATTAAGCAAGTCAGTCAGGGATCATCTTCAATAACCAAGAGTTTCTAAACTTTGCATCATGTCACAAAAGATGATACAGTATCTAATTTTTTCAACAAAAGAAGCATCACTACATAAATGCACAAAGGCAATTATGGGTTTACTACTTATTTATATACATGGCTTTTTCTGGGGTAATTCCATAATGTGTGCATAATAACTCCAATGCATTAGAACCTCCTGTAGTGTAATAGCGTTATAGAGTAAATTGTCTACAAAATGGCATTTTATTGCACGTCCATAGTTCTTTAATAAGAATATTGTTAACTGGCAATTTAAATGTTTGATTTCTGAAGTTGAACTTTTTGAGAATTTCAAGATTGTTGTTGCATTTTATTTTAAACAAAATGTGTACTGCCATTCTCGTATATGCTCGGAGTGGCAATAGGATTTGGCCGACAGGGGCTACTGCCAGGTACTTAACCCATCAAGTATGGAACGCCAAAAGGGCAACCTTGAACACTTCAACGATTATACAAACAGTACCAACGAATACACAGGCACTCCAATGAATGTACAAGCACTCCAATGAATATGCAAACACTCCAATGAATATAGAAACACTTCATCGAATATAGAAACAATCTAATGTATATAGAAGCAATGAATGCGTAATAATAAGTATATCCAGTACAGATGTGTTGTGTTTTAGTTCAAAAGGTCAAGGCTAGATAATGTTTTTTTTTTATTATAGCACTTCGAATGTGCAAATAATTCATGAATTGCAATGCTTAATCATGCACAGTAATACTTATGTTGGCAGGTTGTTTTCATGTTGAATGTCTTTTTTTTATGAGTATTGTACTGTATGCAGTATCAAAGAGAAGAGATACTATTTGTTTCTAGAATGTATGGTCTATACTATGTACATATTATTTTAAATCGCTTGAATTTTAACATTAAAAACAGTGACAAAACATTTTAATAATTATTAAAGGTATTCAAGATTTAATAATAATAATTCTTGTTGCCTTCATTCAACCTGGATATTTGGGTTCCAGGGACCAGTGGTACTGTAGCTCTTTCCCCCCCCCCCCCAAACATAAAAAAATCATGGATCCACCACTGCTGAATCAACACAGGGCCGCCGAGAGTGGATCAGGGCCACGGGACAGGTGTATGGAGGCCAGCAAAGCCTCTAGATCTTCTATCTGAATGCGATACCGGTACAGTAATTTTTTTTATTCTTAGGCAGCAGCATAGATCGGAATGGATTTCCCTAATTTTATGTCTGACATTCAAATTAATATAGCTGAAGTAACTGCCAGTGATAATTCTGAGAAAAATATCAAGCATTTAAAAAAAACATTCACTTGCTCATCTGAAAGGGTAAAATAAATCTTAACATCCAATAAAACGCTCTAGTGGTCCAATTTAGTTCTTGCTGATGGAACTTTCCAAGGGTTTTAACCAAATATCAAAATGGTATTATTCATGTCTTTTGATGAGAAACATATTTGCTGTTCTATTTTACTTGATCACAGTAATAATATCATAACTGTTGAGTAGAAACTTGTGACTACAGAAACATGCTTGCCTTCCAAATCCAGGGTAATGGGTTCAAATCCTACAATCACCATTTTTTTCCCATGACTACAGTAAAACCGGCTGCTCTCCCAAACCACATAATGAGACTTTATTTAAAGAGAACTCATATTTTTATTCCAACGGGAAGTGATGAGTCATTGCAGTTTGGAATAGGTTTGTAATGCAGTACAGTACCGGTATTATTACAATTTAATTTATGTATACAGAATGCCAGATCAAGAGTTGCTGAATATTATATTTTCTCTCATATTTTTGTTTGCAAAGTGCAGTGCGAGTGGTTATTTTCTGTCTGTTTTCATTTCCTGTACAGTACAAGATTGTACCTTTAGTCACCTAGTAAGGGGAATTAAATAGATCATCGTAAAAATGAATTGTCCATTCTGTAAACGACAACTCTATGTAACGTATCCAGGGGTGCTGTTAATTAAAGCTGTTCAATCTCCTTATACTGTATGCTACGGAACAACCCTCTGTATTCTTCGTTTGAAATATTTAGTGTACTGTTCAATGAAACACAAAAAAATACAAAAAACAATGAGATTGTAGTAATAAGCAGAACCCTCGAATTTGAACAATGGGAATATTTTGTCTTGTATAGTTCTGCTTTCTCCTCTCTTTTAATGAAGGTGGGAAGAAACTCAATAGAACCTCTTGCCATAAGTTTCAAACCTGATGTTTGTGCCGGAGGAATGATGGATGCATCCTTGAGAAGCATTGGTCAGTTTAAAATTTTCATCTCGAATGAGATGCATAGACTTCACATCAATAATGCAGTACCAAATAAATCATTTTAGTATGTTAAGAAGCAGTTGACTAGTTTTTCCATTTTAGGGCAAAGTCAAGGTCAAATGCTTGTCATTGTCAAAAGCGATTCTTAGCAACTGGGACGTGACTTGCAGAATATGTGTTATTGAGGCTGGATTACATTATATTTATAATAATGTTATCAAAAGAACAATGGCTTCTTTCTAAACTTAAGAATAATTTTAGGAAAAATCACAAAGTTAGTGTCTGAAAACAAGATTATGAAAAAATAAAGATCAGAAAGGCCGCATTAATTAAGAATCCATGAGATTTTCTTATGTGACTATAATCTGGGTAATTGAGTTCATTTCTGAGAAACTCAAGACGGAGCTGCTTCTAGAGGCTTTCTTAGGAGCTTATAGTGTATGATTCATGTACTGTATATAGATCTGCAAGCCTACTCTCATCATGTCAATCTTTCATGTGAATATAGCCTATGTCATGTATTTTAATGAGCTTCATTATTAATATTTCTCATCTCTTAAATAATAATAGTCTGCAACATTAATAAGCTATTAATGTATTGTGGTGCTTCTTCTCAAAGCCCTTCATTTGTGTTTATGTATTATTAATTTGTAGTGTTTTCTCAGTTGAAGTATTTTGACCGTAAATTCTCGAATGAGCGCCGCACCGAACATGATTTTTATTTCACTCAGCGCCGCTTTTGAATAAGTGCCATAGCGCTTAAACAAGAGTAAATATTACCCTGTGTATAATGAAACACTGAGAAACGGTTTTAAATACAATGTGTACAGTGTTCACATGAAGAAATAATACAATGAAGATGCAAGTCATATCTTTATAATGTCCCAAGTATAGATAGTCCTGATTGGTCCACAGGAATACGTAAGATTAACAAGCATGGGAGTAAATATTACCCTGTGTATAATGAAACACTTTAAGAAACACCTTGCATTTCAAATACAATGTATATAGCATTCAAATGAAGAAATAATTGAAGACACAAGTCATATCTTTATAATGTCCCAATCATAGATAGTCAGGGTTATTCAGGTCCAACCGCGGGAATATGTGAGATAGGTACCATGGAAATGAGCATGGAAGGCATCATGCCAATATTTTTTAATATTGGCTCTTGAATAAGCAACGCTCTTGAATACGAGGCACCACACCGAAGTGCTGCGGTGCTTTATTCGAGTATCCACGGTACTGGAAAATTTATCAAGATGTAGGGCATTGCAATATGTAACTTTATTTAGGTGGGGCACGGGTTAGGTGGGAATTTTCCCTGTCGGACAGGCCTGACACCTGTTGTTCCCATGCCATGCCAAGGTCGTCAGACTTGAAAAAACATTAGTGTTATTTTGATTGCCAGTCCCTAATATTGTGGTCTAAAAACACAATTTTGGGCCATCAAGCAATAAAAACCTCTCCCCATGAACACCAGGGTTTTATTCCTGGACCCTGAACAAGGTTCTCCTGTCTGACTTGTACCACTGTCCACAAATTTTTTGAGCCACCACTGGAAGTTCTCCTTGCTGTGACCATTCTCAATGTTCTTCCTGTTTCCCTTGCTCTTCCCTCAGTAAATCACTAATTGAATTGGAACAGTTCACAGGTGGAGCCTCACAGTGTTAATATCAAAAAGCTATTTATCAGTTTATCAGTCAATCAAAAGGCCAAATGTACCATCAATGCCAACAAATTCAATCTTAGTAATTTACATGATTACCTGTTTATAGGGCACTAGTAGGCGCATATATGACATTTTATAAGGCCAAATAAAATACTAATAGTCCTACAGTATATAAAATTTCTCTCCATTTTTTACTAAAGAAAAGAATAAGGTCTTTTACTTTCTTGTTTTTTGCTACACAAAGAGAGAATTCAATTATTTTTAAACTGGATGATCATGGATTCAGTCGTATGATTGGATTTCTGCCAGATTTTCCTGGGTGTTTTCCCATTGAAATTAATGTTTTTAAAAAGTATATTTGTGTTAGCCCAAAAATGGGTGTAAGGAACACCCATTTTTTCGGCTATAATATATTTTCATATTCATAGAGTCTGTCTCTTAATTGATGCATTATTTTGCATGCTTCAATGCATCTGTACAAAACACTTTGCCAAGGTCAAAATACTTTACCAGCTGATCAATGTAAACAAAGACAGCTTTGACAGCCATTGTGGGTAGACCGAGGTATTATTAAACTTTCCCAAAAAACAGTGGAATATCTTTGAAAATTTTACTTGACAGTTAATTGTAAGTATGTACAAAGATGTTAATCAGTTAATATCAAAGTGTCAAGTATTTTTTGCTTTATTTTAAATTTAGATATCATGTAGTATTATTACATATATTGTATGAAAACAAATTTCAACTATTAAGAGAAAATATTCGTTTATTGACATTAGGAACAAGTAGACTTTTTTTAGTAGTAGTAGAAAAGTTGAAACATACAATTATTTAACCTTCCTACGTTCGTTAACCGTAATATAAAATAACCATTTTGAGCTTTGATGTGATGTTTTGCCCTACCTGATGTTTATCATACTGAATACTCACTACGTCCCCAAATACCAAATACTGTACTAGCGAATAAATTTGCAAGTGATTTGGGTGGAAATCGTACCTACGACCTCCAGGTAACTAGCGCCTGATGTCTTAACCACTAGACCAGCGACCTTGTGCTTGGTGGCCTAGTGATGTATGGTAAGAATGGCCCCGGAAAAAATGGCCCTGGTAAAAATGGCCCCGGTAATAATGGCCCCAAATGACAGGTAGGTAAAAATGAAAATAATAAAATTCTGTATTAAAACTGATTTTTTTAAAATCATTATATGCATTTTTTTTAACTGAAATAATTTAGTTTTTAAAAAAGAATCTAACATCAAATAAATTGCCATTTACATTTTACTTTTTGCAGGAATTACATATTCAATGATAAAATATTCAAAGATAAAAAAAAGTCATGAATAACACTTTTAATTTTTTTTTTCAACATAAATCATGCATTTATTAATACTAAAATAATTTATTTGTGGCCAATTTCACGGAAGCGGAATCACAATTTTCCAGAAATTCAATCCGGGTATTGGTAAACCCCACAAACAATGAGTTTATATGAACGTCAAATTATTTTTTTTTTTTTAGAAATAGAGAGTTCTACAATCATAATTAAAGGGTTTGGATGGGGTTCGCAGTGTGTTTGAAGGTTTGTGGTGTACTTCCAAGTATTTTTTTCACCAAAAAAAATCAACATTTTAGCCAAAAAAATATTTTCTTATGAATATTTAATTTCTTATTGATATACCAAGTGAGTCGATCAAAATTGAATTGTTTGGTTTTCTACAGTGTGTTTTGGGAGGTTTGTGGAATTTAGAAATAAATCCTACCATAATTACCTTACCCTCATAATTAGACGCCATTTTAATTCTTAGCATAATTGCCATATTTACATATGTATTATTATAGTATCTCAGTTTACATTATTTAGTATAGTTCTAGTTACTGTCTTCAATTTAGTTGGCGGGGAGTAAAAACCAAGCATGCAATTAAATAAGTTGCTTAAATAAATGTAGGCCTATTCCTAATTATTCAGTTTACTTTAAAAACAATATTTGATTAACAAATACTTCTTTGAAGTAACTCTAAGCAGAACATTTATTGCTAAGTTTGTGAGAAAGTAAGCCTCTCCCTTTTCCCATACATGAACTTGTGATTCAAACACACAATTGATCCAATGTATGCATTAACTACTGTTTATTTGCACTGTTTATAACATGTAAAAATTCATTTGAAACTTAACAAAAGTGAATTTTGTGGTTATCTATGAGTTGCATATTTTGGTAGTTGAAGTACTGTATGTATGTCATTCCTCTACTTTGTTAGTGGAATAACGTTTTTAAAACTTACTTCTACTATCAAAAAATGTTATTCAATGGCCATTGTTTTCCAAAAATCTCTCACTACATTATTTTCATCTGTTGTGTAACTGTATTTGTTATTGATTCAATTCTTGCTTTTTACAGCTAGTATTTACATATTTGAAGATTTAAAAAAAAAATATTATTTCTATTACTAAATTTTTTCATTTGGGCCATTTTTACCTAATTGTCAATTGGGGCCATTTTTACTGGGGCCATTTTTACCGGGGCCATTTTTTCCTGGGCCTTTTTTCCGGGGCAATTTTTACCTACATAATTCCCAAGTATTTTTAGTTTACAATGAAATTGAAGGGAATTGAGTGCCTTTGAAATCTTTCTTTAATCCATCTTTATTTCTGTTAAGGGTTACATATGCATTTCAATGAAATATTAAATTTTGTTTATCTATTTTTTATTAAAAACAAATAAATGTTTTTCTCCATCAGGTAAAGATCAAAATTGAAATTCTTATATAAATTATTTACAAAGCTGAAGAAGTGGATAAACAAGTTTACTCTAAGGACATAACGGCCTCTTGTAGGTCTCCGAGAGTTGGTCAGCAATCAGAGAAGGAGAATATCGGGTCCCATGGGGGCTTAGGCGATTCCTCTAGTAAGAAGGATTCCATTAACAAACACAACGAGCCGGTGAGAAAAATCAGCCGCACTCTTCCAAATCCGTACCTACCAGGAACGGAGCGTGCTCTGTGCAATCAGCCAACCAGGCTTGGAACGCTAAGCCGTAAGACTTGCCATAAGACAAGAAGTGAAGATCGTAGAAATGGTGGTGGATTGTCTTTCCATTCATCATTGAATATTCCAAATTCTACTGTAAGTCTAATTTCTAATTTTTTTTCATTCATTTTATTTATTTATTTGACAGAAAGGCCCTATGACTCAGTGAGCCAGAAGTCCCAACATACACCAAAAAACACTAAAAATAATTACGATAAAAATTTGATTAAAATATATAAAATAAAATGTATCAGAAAGTTAAAAATATGTCTATACAGTTTCTGGTGACTACAAAGATACGCTATATAGATTGATTCCCCCCAGAATGCATTGTCATCATCATCATCATTCCCAGCAAGCACAAAACGTTCCTGTAACGTTCGCAAACATTGTGGTTAGTAATGTCACAAAATAACTTTTATACAACATTGCAGGAACTTTCTACTGTAACGTTATGACATGAAATTAGGGGTACAGTAAGTCAAGTACGTATTTTTGGTTCTCCAAAGTAAATTTTTTTTAACACCAAACTGTAATGTTAATTATAACATTCTTATATGTAGGGCCTAATATCGTTAGCTGGATCAACACCACCTTACCTATAATCATCATGATCATAATCATTATCATTCAAAATTATTATTCATCATTGTCTGATAATCATTAAATCTGCTGGCATTGTCATTATTACTGTATTGTTAACATTGCCAGTAGAGGCCTACCTGCAATCGCAATAATTAATGATCTTGAATGTTGTTTTTCATTAGGTGGACTCCGTACATCAAAATGCCATCATGATATAGTGCATAGCATATCATATCATAATAATAAAAATAACAAGAATGATTGATTGTAAGAAAAATAGTAAGAAAAATAATTTTGTATTAAATAATGGGCCTACAATGTGACTTGTGTTGATTCACTACTTTAAAGCAGAGCTGAAGTTATTCAACATAGAAGAATAGCTGTACAGAACCTTAGAATATAAACATGAATTTCAGCCTGACATGACAAACGAGCAATGCCATGAAGTCATGCCTACATTATTTAGGCATTTAATTGTAAAGTACTGAAGTCTAATGATTTTAATATCATGTAGTTTCATGCTCACAATTTACACAGTGACATTTTGTGACACCTTATCTATAAAATATTGCATTATAAAATAATTATTATAATTAATAATAATAATAAATATTATAATTAATATAGTTATTATAATTAATTATTGTTTTATTATAAAATATTACATTATTTTAGCAAGTTCAACAACACTGGTTATTGACTCACTGATGTGTTTACTCAACCTTCAATTACAAGGGAATTAGAGCCATGTAAAAAATACAGTGAACACTACAAACCCTGATAAACATACTGTATACCATTTAATAAAGAGTAAAATGGAAACAATATTCAAGTTAGATGTGACAAAGTTAGTACACCAAGAACTGATATTTTTATTCATTACAATACATTATGTGCACATTATGCGTTACACAGTTTTTAACACATTGTGACCTGATATTAAGTATTAAAATATTCTACACATAGTGACCTTTTTATTATTGCAAACTTATGCCATGTTCATATGGAACGCTGGTTTTGTTTAACCAAAATATATTCAGTATGAACATCCTGGAAAACTTTACTTTTGGTTAAAGTCCAAGCTGTGTGGTTAGTTTTTAGCTGGATATATTGTACTCAGGAAACCGAGACAATTTCTATGAAAACTTCATATGACTTGTTTCAATGTATTATTGTGATTGAATTTGCTTTTTATCATTATGATTTCATACAGTGGCATACCCAGAGAGTGCATGGCACATTCCCCCCCCCCCC